GGAGTCATGCCATGGATGACCTGAATTCGAAGACCCTTCCTGGCTATTTCCCATGGTGCGATCGCTTGCTCGCTTGCTCGCGGCGAGCACGGGCCTCCCTCGCTCTCCTCCCTTGCCTCCTCCTCCCCACATCTCGCGATGCTCTGCAAACATCTGGTAGCCTTGGGCTGCCAAGTCGACAGGTTCAACCGTCCAAGGCGGCCAATGTCTTGCATCTCCTTTCGACAGGCAGCATAGCCGGCGTTGTTGGCTGGCTGCCGGCTTCGTACATGCTGTACGGTTGGGGTTCGTGTCTCAGACAGCCATCATCAGTCGCCAGGCGCGACTACGGCCACATTTACCGCTTGGCTTGGGGCCTGACGGCGCCTCGGAGGAGCTCCAGAACCCTCCAGGGCCGTTTGGAGCCAAACCCGTTGTCTATCTGCTTCAGGCGACACGACGCCGCCAAACGCCTTGTCCAGCTGGGCCATCTGCCATGTCCGTCTCCACCAACGTTGGTGGCGCCTCTCTTCTCCGTATCGAGCAAGCAAGGTCGCCGCGGTAGTCTTGTTGGATGGCGAGCCGGGTATGTACGATTGGACGCTCGGGGAATTTGTTCGCACGCTGACCTGCCTTGGTTATAGACTTGTTGTCTTCTTCCGTCCTCCCGACGGGGATCCCCTCTCTCCTAGTTCCAAACACGACCATCATAAACCTTGATGCTCACGGACAGTCCTCTTGATCCGTAGTAATATTAACCAGCCTCCACACGACTAGCTTTGACTATCGCCCTTGGCACTGCTTTTGAACTACATACATCTTATACCATCTCACACATGTTCGTCCTGCTTCGACATATCGTATGCTTCCTTTTTCCTCCCCAGTAGTTCCTGGGCCTGGCCTGCTGCATTATATGATCGTTCTACGCCGGCCTCTCCCGGCATCTGGGACCTATGTTGTTTGATCGCAGACGAACCCGGGCGGAATCCGGGACCCATGACAATGACAGTGGTCGCGTCGCATTTCCCGATCGATCCTCCTCACTCACTCCGTACATGTCGCTCCAGAAGAAACCACAGGCGGCTTCGCGGCCGTATCCCCAGCCTGATGTTGGAGGCTCGGCGTCTCGAGATCACCGGAATGGACTCGCTAACCAAGATGAAATCGAGTCTGGCCTCCGCAAACACCCCTTCTACGCTCATGATGTCTCCTCTCCTCAGGATCTGAACCGTTATTCTCGCATACATATTGGGCCAGAGTATGCGAATGCCGCTCTGACAGTCCAAGCACAGTCGCAGGACTCCAAAAGGCACGAGCCAGGCAACTTGGCAATGCGCAGACATAAGCCTGAACTTCAATTACAGAGTTCGACGGCATCAGTACCACACAAATCGTCGACTCCCGCTGTCAGAAGGCGTAGACCTGAACTCTCATTACAAAACTCGACTTTATCAACACCGTACAGGGCGACGCCCGTCGATTTCGGGAGAACACACGTTACTCAAGACAATGTTCGTACAGCAGATGTTCCTAGGCGCAAATCAATACGCAAGTCAGCTGTAGTCGGTGCCTCGAGCACAAGTAGCCTTGCTAATCCACCTCCACTGCAAAAAGTCGGGTAAGTCGTGAATCCGTATCAATAACTTGAAAAGGATACGTTTCTCACATATATTTGACAGCGCGGACAGCCAAGAACGACGAAACACACCAGCAAAGCCCGCCTTGGCCAAGTTGGGTCTGATGCCACTCTCTCCATTGAATCTCAGTTTTGTCGACAAGCGCCAAAATTCTACTCCCCCCAGTACATCCGATCGTCATGCTTCCCGCGACCCTGGCTCTTCTTCTCGCTCAACTCCGCCCCAGTCATCTGCCGAACGGCCAGTGTCTGCAGTTGGTGATGCTAGGCCGGCCCTATCATACATACCGATGCGTCGACGCTCACTGGTTCAGACTCCTGGTCTCGCGACAAGGACGCCATCTCGTTATAGGCTGCCTGGGGGTCGTAGTAGCTTCAGATCCTCGACATCGCTTGCATCTGTTCTGGCTGGTGCAGCACCAACAGGTGCCGAGGCGGGCAAAGACGCTGCGAGTGAGAGTAAACGAAAGATTCAAAGGCACATGTCGCTACCTGATCTGCAAATGAAGGCGGAACAGGAGCGATCCGGCACACCCAGTGAGTCCGACTATCAGCAGCTTGGCGGTTTGAAACTGGGGACACTCCGAATTACAAACTTTTCTTCGGTCCCGAGACGGATGCGCGATATCAACGGAGGAAAGCAAACCCAATCCACAACGGCGAAGTTGAAGAATGGCATAGGAGCTCGAAATGCAGGTTTCCGTCTTGGCTCCCAGAGCGTACCGAATCTCTCTAATCCTACGCTCTCAACAATCAATGCCACAAAGAATGGCACAAAAGACCATCTCAACGGCAACCCGTCCGTTTCATTCAGTTCTAAACGCCACAGGCGTTTCTCTTTCGGTGACACGCCAGGGGCTGCGTCTAGCAGAAAGCGTCTTTCAATTCTGAGGGAGCTCATAGAGGAGCCTCTTGATGATTATGATTTTATGCGCGAAGTTTCGTCATCACATCCTCAAGCAGTAAAAGAGGATTCATGCAATCAGACTCAAAACCAAATAGCCACTACAGAGGATAACGCGGCATTGAAACATTTTGCAGACGAAATTCTTGACACCAGCGATGATTCGAGCGTGAATCGTATCTCAGACAGCTCAGAGATCAAGCCCGCAAATGATGTTGATCTATACGACATATCTAGACCGGACAGCGGCTTTATATCGGCCTCCTCTTCTTTCAGTTCCCCCGGCTCACCTTCACAGACGGATAGCGGTTATAGCTCCTCTACCTCAATTCAATCAAAACCTGCAGTTGTAGGTTCTGGAGTTGCTGATAAGACCGCTCTTGAAGGCTTATCGGGACGCGACACAAATAATATGGGTGACGATAAGGACGGAGCTGTTAGTCATCAGACTGAGGACGATTCATTAAATGGCCCTCAGCGAGATTCGGTCATCTCGCTGTCAAGAAGCAGTATGCGGCTGTTGTCGTCCCTGATACGACCCCGGCATAGCCTTGCGGTTTCAGGGACTGGCGACGATGGCAGTCAACTGGATCAAAACGGTTCAAACAGCAATAACGATACTTTACGATCCAAAGACAGCTCTGTGAGTCAAGACGGTACCGTTCAACCGAGGGTTCGATCAAACAGCGGTAGCCAATTGGCCGGGAAGCTGCAGCGGTTGTTCGCACATCACAAAGAAGATGACTTATCTACCGGATATGGCTCGCATGACCTCCGGGCGGTCCCCACGGTTCCAGTCGACGTCGAAGAGCGACTCAGTGAGCATAACAGAGTATTTCCAACCTCGCCAAAGAAGCTTACCAAACATTCTAACCGGAGCACTGAATCACTTAAAACCATCGTCAGCGTCGACAGCGCCATCGCGTATAGCGAAAGCAATTATAGCCAGGATGACGATGACGATGACGATGAAATCAGCCATTATGGTCACAGCATCAGAAGTGGCACAACTTACAAGGGTCATAAGAGCATGAACAGCCTGGACAGCGTCAAAAGCTTGAATAGTATTGCCAGTTCTGGGACTGTTAGGAGTCTCTCGAGTTCCGAGAGTGCTAAGAGCGACTCAACTATCACAAGAGGGGATGACACAAAAATATTCCATATTGAGGCACTGCTGGACGGACCTGGCCCCGAGGCTGAAGATAATGATACCCACTTGCAAAGAACTACGACTCCGGTTGCTATCCCAGCTGCCTTGCCCATGGAGGAGGCTTACCAGGACGCATTCATCGGCGAGAAACCTGTACCTCCTCCTCGAAATCCATCCCGCCAGAGTAGAAAAATAGGTAATCACAAGGCCATACTTGAGGCTACCCGAAACGTCACCGAAAAGGCGGCACCCCAGGAGGCCTTCACTACGTTGCGAACCCAGGATAACCGGTTCATGAAAAATGAACGTGCGATTCTCCCTGCCAGTCAAACGGCGCGAACTCACATCAGCTCCGGGCTAGACGTGTATAGAGCCAGGGCACCCGTATCGGCGCCGAATCTTGCAAATTCCTTCTATTCCAACTCGGAGGCCGCAGCTAAATCTGTATCAAGACTGACCGTTGCGGATCTGACCAAAGAGCTGCCACCAGAGCCGCCGCGCGATGATCTCCTGCGCAGTTCATTCTCAAAACGACCGTGGCAGCAGAAGCGATTAGCCGAAAGGAAATGGCTTCAGAATAACAATGAAGAGAGCGTCCGAAGTTATGAGTTTCATCATAATCATGTACGATCCCAAACAACGACCGTCATGGGCCGGGAGCAGACTCAGGTAGTCCAGGACCATATCTCGGTATTCATGTCACAGCGTCGACACTCTACTTTGATTCACCGGCCGGCCTTTTCTGAATCTCTAGCAATTGCTTCTCTGGAGCGTCCAAAGGACGAGCCTCAGCCACCTTACCGGGTCCTCCACAGCTATAATTCGCCAGCATATAAAAACATTCCCATCTGGGCATAATTACCACACTTGTCAGGCGTACGATGATTGATACCTTGGGCGATGATTGCTTGAAGCCATCTCGTGAGGCAAAAACACAAAAAAAGGGAATGTGGTAATTATTATTTTGCGTTTTAATTATGTAATTACGAGCCTAATGTCACCAAGGTTTCCTCGTTCATTCATTTATCTATTGGCGTTTTTGTTTTGTCTGAACGATTCAAGTGCAATAGGCGATGGGAGGTTCAGAAATCTTGTACAGGGGCAGCTGGCTAGAATACCCAAACAGAGCATAGTTAATAGTTATAATGGGCGTTTTTGAATGTACATATCTATCCATCAGACTCGAGTAAGTCAGTCACACGTGGCTAATGTGAAGGTCCAACCACACAATCTGTTTCCTCTTTTGCTCGTCAAGGCTGTCATTACTCTCATTTATATATATATATATATACATATAAACATGGCAGCCGTGCCATGTAAAGGAACTACTACTAGTACGCTTCAGGACGCTTGGAATAAGCCGGCCCCGTGACGAGACGGACCTTGTTCCGCGAAGACTGGACGGGCGTCCCGGCCCTCAGCGCCAACCCGGGCACCCTCGCGCCGGTGCTGTCCAACGACCACACCGCCAGCCCGACCCAGTTGTCGCCCCCGTAGTCGAGGACGCCCTCGGGCACGGGGAACTCGGTCTGCGGGCCGATGTTGCTGAGATACTTGCCGAACTGGAACCCGTTGATGTACAGCAGCGCCCTGTAGTCCCCCCCGCCCCGGGAGGCGTTGGCAAACACAAACGACAGCGGGATGTCGTACGCGTCGGCCGGCAGGTCGAGCGGCATCCGGGCGGCGTAGTAGGCGACGCCGGCGCCGTCGGCGCCGTCAAACGGCGAGCCCGGGGCGAAGGGGGCGTCGTCCACGGGCGGCCGGGGGTAGTGGTAGCCCTGGCGCTCGAAGAAGAGCCCCCCCTCGTTGAGCGGCCCGCGGAACGAGTCTGCGTAGTCGTGGCCGCCGAGGTTGCCGGTGATTTTCCACGCCACGGCGGTGGGCGCGACGTCGGGCGACGAGAGCGCGTAGTCGAGGATGCCGCGCGGCGCCTTCATGTCCTCGTATCCCGGGTTGAAGTTCTCGTTGAACCCCATGGTGTCGACCACCACCGTGACGACGTACTGCTCGCCGGCGGTCAGGCTGGGCAGGGCGTACGTCGAGTTTTGGTTCTCGGCGGCGGAGTTGCCCTTGAAGGACCCGAGGAAGCGGTCGTTGAGCCATGCGGAGCTGGCGTATGCGGTGCCGCCCGACGTCCATGCCCTGAAGAGGGACTCCCTCCCCGAGGCGGTGAAGTGGCCTCTGAAGAGGAGGGTGCCCGTGTTGAAGCCGTAGTCTGAGCCGTAGAGAGATGCGCGCGGGGGCGCTGCGAATAGGGTCTCGTTGGAGGTTTTGTGGTGCGCTTGCGGCCTGTTGTTGCCTGGGCTTTGGGAGGCGGTGCGCCAGAGGGAGTCGTCGTACTGGGGGTGAATTTCGGGCAGGGAGTCGATGGTGTGCCAGGTCAGGTCGGCGAGGGAGGGGAGTTGGACGGTTGGGATGGTGATGTCCGGCTGGGCGAGCCACGTTCCTGTTGGGGAGGTGGTGTGTTTGAGCGGCCGGCCGTTGACGGAGAGCTTGGTGACGCCGTCGGGGATGCCGACGACTTCCAGGGTCGTCGACCCGTTGAAGTCGGCGCGGAGGGAGAGCGTGTTGCCGTTGATGGAGGCGGAGCGGATGAGGTAGCCCCCGTTGATGATGGCAGCGTCTGGATTCATGAGGGATGTGCCGTATGGGGATGATTTGGAGCCCGGAAGGACGGGGACCCAGTAGTTGTACGCCGAGTTGCGATCTGTTTCTGTGGTTAGAGGATGGAACTGCAGTTTTGGTGTCATGTAGAGGTTCGTGATAGGTGTCGGCGTACCAACGAGGTAGATGGCCAAGTTGCCAACCTGAATATACTGCCTCTCTGGCGACGTCGTCCACTGCACGACAATAGTCGATGAAGCCTGCTCGTGGGACGAGATACTGCTCCCCTCAACATGCAGGATCCGTGTCGCTGAGGGAGAGTTTACCGCAAACTCATGCAATTCATCTGGGCCGCCGTACAACACCAAAACTGTCTTATCAGCGTACTTCTTCCAGGTGAATACCTCGGCAGTGGTATACAGTAAAACGTAGTCGCCCACAGGATAATCCGTCAAATGAATCTTGGAATCCCGCCCGTGCAGGGACAAGCTTCCTCCGCGCTGGGGGATGGTGAGGATCCCATTGCTGGTAGGCAGGGTGACGGTGTAGGAGACGCTGCCCGTGGCGGTGTAGTCTGTCTGACGAGCGACGAAGAAGTTCCCCGTCTTGTTAGACGTCAATGGCGTGATGGTGATGCCCGGGTTGTTGGAGTATGCCGTGGTTGATGCGAGGCCAACGGAGGCGGTGATGTAGCCAGGCGATACTTTGATGAATTGGGCTTCGAGCTTGACCTCGGAATACTTCTCACGGTCTATGACTCTGTTTTCTCGGATGCACTTGGAACGTTAGTACTTTGTGGGAAATGCAGGTGAAGAAGAAAAGGAGAGGAAGCATACGGCACCGTAATCGTAGGACGTATAGCCGCCTGGGTGGCCGAGATTACCCCAGTTTGTTCCGCCGTAGATCTGCAGAGTCTCATAAGCTCAAGATTCTAGTGGGGGAAAGGGGTAGCTTGAATTACCATGTAAATATTGAAAATCGACACACCGGCCGCCAGGTTGTTCTTGTAAAAGACGCGTGCGAATTCGTGGTTGACGAGGGCGGCGCACTTTTCGAATCCCCAGCCGCCCCAAGGGTCAAACGCGCCACCTTGAAACTGACGCATCTTCCGTGAGCCTCTCCTTTTGGCATTTCAACCGGGCGTACATGTTGTGTTGCGGACGTACCTCGATGATGGAGTACGGGCTCTTCGGGCTCTGCCTCTCGTGGAGTTGGTGAAAGCTCGTCGGAAGACCGTTCGGCGGCCAGACGGTAGGATTGCCCTGAAGATGTTAGCTGGATTTTCCCCTATTTCTCCCAGGAGTTACACTCGTCAACTTACGCAATCGAATCCTAGGGGGTAGCTGTCGTGTCCCTGCACACGTTAGTCCGCTGTCTCTATACTCTCCGACACCACGGATTCACTCTACGCCTACATAAATATCCATGCTTCCGACGCCCTTGCCAGGAGCATAGTTCCCCGCGGGCCCAACGTCGTTGTTGATCATGGGGACCGAAATGCCCGCGCTCCTGGCCTGGTTGATGACGTACTGCATATACTGCCCGTTGGGAAAGGGGATGTTGTGTCCCGAAGAATATTCGTTCTCGGGCTGGAAGAGAACGACGGGGCCGCCCTTTGTGATTTGGTGCTTGGCGATTATATCACACACATGGGCCATGTAGCTGTTTAAACTCATCAGTTACTGCTTCCAACTTGCCACGACAGTCGTCCTCTTCTTTCAACAGGCAGCATACACACACATCCAAAGGAACTTACTTGTCCGTCGAATTCAAAAAGTCGGGCGCCTGAGACCTCAGAATCCCCTCCAACTGCTGCAAATATCCCGGAAACCCCCCTCCGCTAACCTCTGCGTTAATATACGGACCCGGCCTCGCCAGCAAATATACGCCCGCCTCGGAGGCCGCTTCAAAGAACGGCTCCAGAGCGAAGATGCCGTCCGCGCGAAACTCGCCCGGCTTTCCCTCGAGCAGCGCCCAGTCGACATAGAACGAAACCATGTTGAAGCCGAGCGCCTTGACCTTCTCAAAGACATCCAAGTACAGCGACGGCACGGGGAGGCGGAACGGATGGACCTCGCCCGAGAACATCATGGCGCGTTCGCCGTGGACAAAGAGCGAGTGCTCATCCCAGGTAACAAAGTCCTGGAGGGCGCCAGAACGCCTGTCCACCTCATGGATGACTTGGTAGGGCCGGCCGCCCAGACTGAGGGCATGGCAGAACGGGAGTGCGATGGCACCAAGAGCCGTAGATGGCTTCATTACCGGTGTTGGGGATACTACCACCAGCTTTTATTTCTATTTTTTTTTTTTTCACAGAGCTACACGATGGGCTAAGGGGGGGAGAAGAGAAACAGATACAGACAATGGCCATTGTTCACTTATTTAAATACTAGTACTACTAGGCTCTACCGCGCAGAGACAGACACGGTGACGACGAGCACGACGGTAGTGTTGCAATGCGGGGACGCGAACGATGAGTGACAATGGGCCTAGGGAGAAAGTAAATGAAACCCCAACGTGCGCAATGGGTGAAGGAAGAAGAGAGACATCGGGTGACCAGCATGCTGCGTGTGTACGGAGTATGTAGTGCCATTGGCGGTCAAGGGAGATTTGGACGAGATGGCCATGCAGGGCAGCTCGTGGGGGGGAACATTGAAGTGAGATGCAGCAGTCATCTGCCAGGAACACAGACCGTTTATGGCTGGAATGTGCTCACCATGAATGAGGCTGGTGAGGATTGTGATTGGAGCTGTTGACGGAGTACCGGCCGTGACATCCCTTGAGAAATGTGCCGAGAGGAGAGGGGATCGTCGACGGTTTTGCTCGGATGTGCCTAGCACTACCACTAGGCCAGGCGTCTCCCTTGGGCATCTATCTGCATCATTACACATCATTTATCGTCCATGTAACATTTGATAGTAGTACTATTACAGAAAAGAGGCCGTCTTGATCATGTTGCATGCGGTGAAATTGGTCGGGTTGGCACACCACAGGGTTTACCCCTCAAGTATCCGGAGCGAGCACAGAGTGCACGATTTCCATGATTGGGGCCTTTTAAATTAAACACGAGCAAATCAAGGCAGTGTACTCGACTTCTCACAGTCCGTATATTACCTGTCTTTTGGCACTCTCCATCCATCATTTATTCCCCCACTCCAACCGCCACTCCACCGCTCTTCCACACTTTGCCATCCTTCATGACAAAACTCACCTTCCGCAACGCACGCCCGTCCACCCTCGGATCAGCGTCCAACGCAATGATATCCGCTCTGTTTCCCTCCTCAAACCATCCAAATCGATACCCACAGCTGTCCTTCCCGCACGACTCCCACCCGCCCACCATGCACGCCTCAAGCACATCTTCCACAGGAATACCCGCCTCCATCATCAGCTCCATCTCGCGCGTACCCTCACCGTGATTAAACGCGCCTGTGTCACCGCCCGCCGCAAGACGAACACCCATGTCAAACGCCTGCCTCACGTTCCTCTGCAGCCTGGCCAGGTCGGGCTTCCGCAGCACCTCCATGACGGCCAAGGTCGGGACAAAGATGGTCCTGCTACGCTGCATGGCCATAAACACCTCGGTCGTCATCAAGTTTCCGTGTTCGATGCTTGTTACGCCTGCTTTCGCCGCCATGGCCGCTCCCTCTGCTGTGTTTGCATGGCATGCCACAGGGAGACCTGCCAGATGCGCCTCCTCCACCATGGCCTCCATTTCGTCCTGGTTGAACATGACGATTGCCGGGTTGGGGTTCCTGGGCGGGAATTGAACGGGGATGCTTGATCCGTGGGTCTCGACTGCCGGAAACCTCATTGCTTGTCGGGAGTAGTCTGCGTAGAACTTGATAATATCTGCTCCCGCGGCGACTCGTCTCCGAACCGCTGCCCTGCAGGACACTGGCCCGTCGCAGGGATCCGAGATTCGAGGGCCAGAAGCGCCGTTGGCCGTGTTTTCCGACCGGAGTTGATACGAGCCCGTCGAGGCGAGACACTCCGTCGCCACAAAGAGCCGTGGTCCCGGGATGAGACCGCGGTTGATGGCATCTCGTACGTTTGTGTCGAATGAGGCCATCCCCTCTGTGCCCAGGTCGCGATATGTGGTGTATCCTGAAAGCAGGGCCCTTCGAACGTGATTCGTTGCGCGGATTGTACGTTCCACGATGCTTTCGTCTCTCATTTGTTCCAGGGAGGGGCGCTCTCTTGACGAATCCGTCAGGATAAAGGGTCACTGAAGCCTACCGATGAGTCGACCACTTACTTGTAGGCGTGTAGGAAGATGTGAGTGTGTGCATCTACAAATCCTGGCATGACAATCTTGTCACGGAGGTCAATGTCGCCTTCCCTGATATTGGCCGTGCCTGTGTCCCGTTGCAGTACGTGAACAATGCTGCCCGTGCCAGGATCGACCGTGATTGATACATTTTCTTTAAACTTTTTGGCTTTAGAATCAAAAATAGTTCCAGCGTGGACAGTGATTGTCTTGAGCTCCATTTCAACTGACCTTGACCGCAGGTGTTGTGTCGTGAATGGTGATGGAAGAAATGTGACATGAGTGAGGGGGAACCACCTACCATTGGCGGTTCATGTATCTACGATAAATTCCTATTTCGACACAGTGCGTCCAGAATTTTGCACAAACCATCTTGAGACAGCTCTTCCTGTCATAGATCGATTTATTCTGCATCTCGTGGTCCGTAGTTTTGCATGGCGGCATGAGCCATGTTACCATTGTTGCTTCCAGTTTCGCTGGCCACTGGACATGCCGCGAGTAATTGCTTCTGGTGTTTCGGGGCTTCCCGAGAGATCAAAGGGTCAAGCTGTGTCGTGTCATGGAAGACGGCCTTTCAACGCCGATCCCTGAAACCTGTCCAGAATACAAGTTGTGTAGTGTAGCCAACCGTCTGTGTATGAACGAAAATATAGAGTCGTTGCAGACACTGTGAACTATCCAAGCGCATATTGTGTTTATTAATGGTGGCAGTACTCCGCATAAAGCGAAGAAAGATGTATGTCTGATGGTTAAAATTGCATGCACACAGATTGGCCATGTCGTGAAAGGGACTGATAACTGTGGCAAGGCGTTTAAAAATTGTCAACGCGTTTTAGTTCACAATCCACCTCACGGGCGTTGGCGTCGTGAAACGTTTGATCTTGCAGGCTTTGACCTCCTTTTTTTTTTGCCTCTCTGCAAAACATAAATGCACCGCTGGTTTGTCGAGAGTATTCGACGGCGCAAGGGCTGCGCCTCACAAATACTGTATTAGCCATCCCTTTGTTGTTTTGGTGGACGACTTGCCCTTGAAGGACCTGGTGGCACCGTGACCAAACACTGGAGGGCTGCAAGAAGCCAATTATAGCACCCATGCGTCCATGCAGCGCGTCGATGTCCTTTCCAACCAGTTGAAATGTCTCGAGCCGCGGGCCTGGCCGGTTCTCAGGCATAAACTAATGCAAACGAGCATTGTGCTATGTAAAGTTGCCCCATCTGACAGCGGGCACTGGAAGGCTTGGCCAACGGCTAGTGAAGGGAGCGATGTCAACCTTTTCTGTCGGCACTGGTTGTCGATTAATGCTGGCGCTGCTCAGGAGACTTTGTGTAGGACTTCAATGTCCTAGTTCGAGGATCCGTCAGTGAACATGCCTCCCACGCAATGACTCGTCTCATCTCATCTCGAGGCAAAAGCTGGGCGGTTTCTCAGGGGCCATGAGTCCATGACCATCAAACCCAGAAGACCACCAGGGGCCGCCGCACCGGCGGCCAATGGCGGATATCCCATGCCGCTCCCGGTGCTTACGTGTCGTTCGTGCCACGAATGTTGAGACTCTTTCTCCGCCTCCTCCTTTCGGACTTGACGGCTTGACATGTTCAACTGCCACTCTGACTCCGGAGAACAATTTGCGTGATTGTCTGCAGCCTTCTGCGGACTGCACCGTGGCAGACTGCTGGAGTGTCTGACTGGCTGACCGGCTGTTTGAATGATCTATTTCAAGCATTGGTAGATCCCTAGGGGACAAGGATTGGATGGGTGCAATGGTTGGATGGAGCTGGACATGTTGATGCCCAGGGTCTGCCCCGAATGAGGGGAATACGAAGTTTCACACTGCACCTTCCTTGCAGGTCCTGTCAGTCCTGTCAGTCCTGGCACCCTGGGGCCGCCCTCGACCCTTGACCAGTCTGGCGCACATCAATATTGATGTCAACTGGCTGGCTGGCAAGGCTCGTTCATGCTCCTCCATCAATGTCTCCTCACCTCACCTGCCTCGCCGCCCGACCGACCTTGCATGTGTTCAGTCCAGTGCTCAGTTGGACGACTGACCGACCTGGTCGACTCATCCCGGCCATTTCCCCGTTGGGCCCCGTGACTGCCTCTCGCTTCTGCCTCTTCTTTCTTCCACCAGACTGTTCCAATCCATACCAGCCTTGCCATTACTACGGAGCACATACAGGCAGTCTGCATCGCTACCTTCTTTTTCCTGTTCCTTTTCTTTATCGTCGACAATCGTGAAACACGCCCGCCTTCCTTCCTTTCAAATTTTTTTCATCACTGGAACTCTCGCTCCACCAGGATCTCAAATCACTGCGCCTCCCTAACAGCGAAAGAGGGTCCACCTGCTTTCTTTCACTCCCGTTCACGCACCGAGAACTCTGCACATTAGAAAAACAGACCTCACATCACGCGTGTCCCGGAAGCCCGGCGTTGGCGTCTACATCTTGATCGAATTACGAGGACCCAACACGCTCCCTGCGCAGTATTTCACTCGTCTTGGGAAAAAGACTACACCCGACATCCCCTTCAGAAGTACAGGTAGTTTGACTTGGAAACCATCGATACCGCGCCCTACCCGAGAAAGAAAACCGAGATGTACTCGAAACAGATTCTCCAGCAACTGCTCGTTGCAGTTGCCATCGTCTCCGTGGCTCAGTCAACATGGCTAGATTTGAACAAGATTGATGTCACGGCCCTCGCTGCACGCCAGCTCAGCGACCTGGTCGGAGGAACCTCAGCTTCTGAATCGTCAACCCAAAGCACACCTACTACGGAATCTACGCCTAGCTCAACGAGCACTCCATCCAGCTCGCCAACATCTACGCCATCCTCCACTCCCGCCACTCCCACCACTCCGTCTTCCAGTTCTTCTAGCACCCCGTCATCTACTCCAGCTAGTGCCACGCCATCCGCTACTCCCGAGGCAACCTCGTCTTCAGCTAGTACTCCATCCTCCACCTTTATTCCGGTACAAACCACGAGCTCGAGCAGCACACCGACTTCGAGCACACCTACCCCTGTTGTTCAGACGAGTGTCCAAGTATGGACCACGACCAATACTAACGGATCAAAGACCGTTGTATCGTCAACGACAAGGACGACTTCTACCCCTGGCCTCACTTCTGGAGATGGCGAGACCACTGGCATGTCCACAAAGACTCGAAATACTGTTATCGGCGTCGTTGTCGGAGTTGGTGGTGCGATCGTCTTAGGTGCTCTTGGATTGGTAGCCTGGCGTATCTGGGGACGCAAGAAGCACAGCGAGGAGAACGACGGCCTCATGGCCTATGATATGTCTGCTACTGGAGGCATGGAGAAGTCTGAGCGAGGCAGTAGTGCTGGCGGTGCTCATACCCAGCGCAGCCCCTTCCAGTCTACTCTGGAAAACTACCATCAGCCTGGTCAGGTTACTGCATCGTCCAACTTTTAATTCCGGTTACCAAGAGCACCGATGACAGTGGACACGAATACTTACCACGGGGCGTTCCGGAATTTCTTACATAAACCCGATTGCGTGTTTAGGCGAAACTGAGATTTGTACCTTCTTTCATTTTTATTTTTGGACGGCGCGGAGGCCACGGGAGCCAATACGATGCCGGTTTTGTGTAGTGGCCGATTGGCCAATACCTTAGGATGCCTCGGTTCATGCGACCGTCGTTCATGCAGGAGGAAAGGCAGTTGATGAATTGTTCAAACCAGCTTATATTGTTCGGCAATTGCATAGCGAGCTTGACTAAAATGCTACAGTTATATAGACACCTTAATTAATACCCCCATTTTTTACAACTTGACCTTCCATGTCGTCTGCAGAGAGTCGGATTGTCTAGACAAACCGTGCTGCTGGCCAGCTTTTGGAATGTAACTACCTAATGTTGGAAACAAACGGACCGGTTTGGCGGCTCTGAAGAGCAAAACCATGGACTATTTATTTATTTAATTATTCTTTTGAGGGCTTCGTACAGTCCAAGGCAAGGGAACTGGATTTCGCCATCAGTGCCCAACCCTGCCGCTTCTCTTGTGTACGCAGCTCATCTGATCTCCTTTATAATAATAAGCATTTGGAAAGCCGCGATATCCACTCGTCTGTGTCCTGCTCAAAACCACGCGCTATATTGCCCCGGACGCCTCCGTCTTGTCGCCCACTACATCTCAATTCATTCCATGTTCTCGCATGTGTCTTCCGCGAAAGTCGGGCTGGTTTTCCACTTTCCTGTTTTTCGCCATCACCATTTTACTCTCAAGAGATTTCGCCTGGGTGCGAGCCCTATTCACTCGCCGTCCCAATTAATATATGTTCCCATCACGCCTCTCGTCCCGCATTCTCCCCATTGCTTCTCGGAACTCCAAGACATGTTTGCTGACATTCATTATTTTCCAGCCTAACCCATTGCTGATATGGGTGAGCTTCACATTCGGCTCGACCGTCTTGGTCCTTCCATTGAGAGACTCATAAAAACTGGTGGCAGACCGGGCGTCTCCATCGGGGTGCTCTCGCGCGACAGTCCTGTCTATACAATGTAGTATGGCATGCGTGACGTCGAAGCGGCCCTACCTGTTGGCCCCGATACCATCTCCACGGCTGGTTCCCTAACCAAGGATCTCACCGCTACTGCCATGGGCATTCTCATTGACGATGGCAAGGCTACATGGGACACACTTGTCAAAGATGTCCTGCCAGCTTTTCAGTCCAGAGACGAGACGCTGCAAAACTCTGCCACGCTAACCGATAGAATTCCCACTATCGCCAAACGAGTTTCCCGGAGAGCTTTTGATATTCCATCAGGGCAGCCTCCCCGGTGCCTTGACTTTGGTCATGCTTCTCTCGGACAAGGATGCCGCAATTGTGGTAATCACGAATTCCCTCGCCCTCGACGATGTCGCAGACCGGATCAGCCTGCTCATACTTGAGGAACTTCTCGCAGTGTCGTCAGGCAACCGAACCGACATCATCAAAGCGGCAGAATCTTGCATCCCTGAGAATCTCAGGTGGTACCCTGACTTGATCAAGGAACTTGCAGACCTGCGAAAGAATGATACCTCTGCAAGACATCTTGATGAGTACGTGGGCACATACTGAGACGATATTCATGTCTTCAAGATTGTCGTCACCCAGGAGAAAGAAAAGCTCTACTGGGCATTCCAAGGTCTTGATAGCGAGAAATTTGAACCGGACCATTATGAGGATGACACTTTTCTTTGGCTCCAACCGCGGAATGAGCTGTCGCGTCGTGGTCGTTGGGTAGGTTTGGATCAAGGTCCAGAGTTCTAGAAAGCCAAGTTTAAAGCAGGATCAGACGACAAAGTGATCAAGCTGTTCTGGGCGCATGATAACGGTGTTCCGCCTGTCCAATTCACAAAGGAGTGAGAGGTAGCAACAACATCCTAGAGAGCTGGCACATTTTGTGACTGGAGTTTGATGACTTTAGTTTGGTGTTCAAATGGGGAAGTAACCTGCGTTAAGGAGCTGTAATGGTAAATTTAGCTAACCCAAAGCCTGTGCAAGACCTTACATATGTAGCTTCATTGCTTTCGATGTAGGGGCTGAGTGTCTATCCAGGGGACCAAGTGTTTTCCATCGTTCGACAACTTGGTATGTGAACGTGGGTCTTGAGCTCACTTCGTCGGTGAGATTCTTCCCAACATGGTCGGCTGGATTTCCAGACCAGCCTTTAGAGAAGAATATCGGACTGTCGAAGTAGTTGATTTTCTTGTCATAGTCTTCCCATAAGGAAATCAGCTGTTCCGACACGCTGAACCGTAGAGTATGTAGACTGAAAGAAATACACGGGCCCTCCTGACAGCTGGTAGGTTACCTCACAGCTGGGCCCATATGTTAATGTCACCAGATATCTGGCTAAACACTCCGGGTCTGAATTGTACTTCTTCCTGTCCCGCCCCAACTGACCGTAAACTAAGTACATAAGTACTTATGTAGACATTTCGGAAAGCTCGAACAATCATCCACCTCCACAAAGAAAACCCAAAATCGCAACACGCAGACTCTGTTGTCCAACCAGACCTTAGCCAACCGGCCAAGGCGCCAAAGACTCCAGTTAGCCAGTGCTCGAAGCTTTCACCAGCAATAACTTGAACGAGGTTCTATTGCTGCCCCACCCCCCACCACAGCTCTAGCTCTACCTTCACAGCCATGACAACATCAATGCTCTTGATATTCCAAATCGCGATTGCCCCCTCCCCATCTTCTAGCTCGGCCGAACCACCCGGCCCCTCTTTGCATCTCCACACTTTGCCTCAAAGAAGCTTCCGAGGGCCAATACCCGGGCATGAAGGTCCAGGACGCCTCTGCGTTATTCCACGGCATCTCCCTCTCCAACATCGTGGATGTCGAGATATTCGAGTCAACGTCTGCCATCGTGTAAATCCCTACAACTTGCACTATTATCCTCGCGCAGCCCATCTCGAACCACCGCAGGTTCGCTTCAACGACTATTGAACCCACTAACTACAAAGACGCAAGCCTCACACCTAAGCAACTTGCGCTTCGGCACCCAATCGCCCACCATGTCAACCATGCCCGCCACCGGCGGCCACAGCAAGCCGTGCTGCAATGTTCCCCCCATTGTGACCAAGGGATACAAGCCTAAGGGTGCTTATGAAGAAATTGGCGGTTACAAGACTTGTACGTATGCTGTCCGGATGGAACCTTTGGGTGGTCAGTGAGCTGGGAGCTGACGTTGGACTTGGGGAGGATAGACGTCACCGGTCCTTCTGATGCGACGAGGGCTATTGTCGTCATTTACGACATCTTTGGCTACTTTGAACAGACTGTTCAGGGTGCTGACATCCTAGCTCACAGCGACAGTGAGCACAAGTACAAGATCTTGATTCCAGACTGGTTCAAGGGCAACCCTGCCGCCATTGAATGGTAAGTTTCTGTACGGGCCTCAGACAGGAAGAGATGGCGCAAGGGCAAAAACTGACAAACTCACGCCTAGGTATCCCCCCGACACTTCCGAGAAGAAAGAGAAGCTCGGTGCCTTTTTTGGCAAATTCCCCCCTCCCGCCACGGCCGCCAATGTCCCTACCTATGTCCAAGCCGTCAAGCAGCAGTATGCATCTCTAACCAAGTTTGGTATTGTCGGCGTAAGTTAACCTGCTCGTCTTGATCATGAAGATATGCTCGGAACTAGCAACTAAGTGGAATCAAAACTCGTCAGTACTGCTGGGGCGGTAAGGTCGCGACCCTGGCCACCAAGGCAGACAACAACGTCTTTGGGGCCATTGCCTCCGTCCACCCTGCCATGGTCGATCCGGCCGACGCCAAGGGCATCAACGTCCCCATGGCCCTGCTGGCTTCCGGCGACGAGCCCGCCGAGGATGTCAAGAAGTTCGAGGACACACTCAAGGTACCTAAGCACGTTGAGATCTTCAAAGATCAGATTCACGGCTGGATGGCTGCCCGTTCCGACTTGAGCAACGATCGAGTCAAGGAGGAGTATGAGCGCGGCTACAAGACTCTTTTGAGCTTCTTTGGTCAGCACCTGTAGATGTGCGCTGAATAAGAAGGAAAACAAAATGTCTATATCGCAGGTTCTATATTGAATGTTAGTTAGTTGGCACACCAGTATGAACAATGACTCTAACTTGACCTACCACGACAAATATTCCTCCGTGTATAACAAACCATGCCAACATGCCCAACAATATCCCGGGTTGTTCAAAAATCCGTTTCACTTTGACCACACCAACCCTATGCCCTCATTTTTTTTTATTTTTTTATTTTTTTTTTTCACAAATTACTCTTCTCAGCAGCATCCAAAAGCGCATTCAAATTCAAACTTTCAAACCCCCCTGCCAAACCGCCATCTACATCCCCCCTGACAACCGTACAAATCATATAATCAGCCAAATACCTCTCGAGCCTCACATGCACGTCGCCCCCAACCCTCGCGCCGCGAAACCAAACCTCCAGCGGCGGCCTCCCGTCTGAAATCCCGTCCGGCGGCGCGAAATTCCTCATCTCCAGCTCCGCCAACCACTCGGCGAGCAACGCCTCCCCAGTCATCTTGACATAGCCCTCCCTCAAGCACCACAGCGCATAAAAGTACTCGAGCGCCTCGTCCCTGCCGACCTCGCGGCCCAGGTCTAGCAGCCGCGCGCACTCGGCGGCCGCGAAGACGCTCTCGTGTATGTCCACGTACCGCGGCCACCCGTCCTTGGCGATGAGCGCGTGGTCGCGATCCCGCCGCTCCCCGGGGCACACGACGTCCACGCCGACGTCCACGCCTCCTCCGTCCGCGCTGCGCCGCAGCACCCCGACGAGGGCCACGAGGCCCGCCTGGTGCGAGACGTTGAAGACGAGCGGCTCCGACCCGTCTGGCCGCACAAACACGGGCTTGGAGCCGGGCGGTGCGCGCGTGGGCGTCGCCGCTGAGAAGGGGATGCGGAGCGTGGACGAGATGGCGTGGCGCTTGAGCAGCGCCGAGCCCAGTGCTAGCTTGGCGTCCTTGACGAAGTAGTACTTTAGGACGGAGGCGCGTTCTTCATGGGTGAGCAGGGAGAGGGCCCGGCTTGCCTTGTGTGTCGTTAGATATGTGTTGGACAGAGGAGGGAGGGGGGGGCATGGCGGGAGAGGGTACCGCTGTTTCGAGGTCCTTGGTGGCTGTGGCTTCGGGCCAGAGCGTCCGCGTGTCGAGGATCCATTTAAGGACGAGGGGCTGACTCATAGCGGCTATTTTTTCAAGAGTTGACAGTGGAAGGAGTTGGGGATTAATTGCGGTTTGCGTGAGAAAAAGACTGTATGAGGTGTAAGATGTAACGTGTGGCCCAATGTGTAAGTCGTTCAGTAACACCAAAAGCGTTGCCCCGCAGTGTTGGATTGTAGGGTAAGGCGAGCCGTGGAGGATGAGCTCCGTTTTGAGCCGCTGCTAGGCCTCATCAGAGTCATATTTGAGAGTATTATACTGTGTCCCCGACTTTTATTGCCCGGTTCGAATGTCTTGATTTTTTGTGTTGCATAATGTCCGGTGGTTTGGAAAATACTCCGTACATGTCGGGTGGGAAACAGTTCGCGCAACAAGAGGCTGGGGAGTCTAACCAATCAACTCGTGCCATATCAACAAACCCGACATGGACTGACAGGACATGCGTCATGGCCCAAACATCCAATATCGAGTGCCTCTTCAGCTCGATCCAGAAAGCTCTGCAAAAACGCATTCTGTGCACGCAATTAAAGAACATCTACGAAGCGTTGCAGAGGATATTGTATGTTACTCTTGAGATGCGTGTTTTTCGACATGCCAGTCGTGTCGCGAAAAAAAAAAAAAAAAAAAAAAAGAAACACCGACTGACGCCACGGGATGAACCCAAAAAGCGCATTTCTGTGGCTCGTGAAACTCAACATCTGGACGGGAGGAAGACCCCGTCGGGCAACTAGTTCCCGGGCGTGGTGCCTGGCCACTTCACCCACCTCGGCCACCCACTTCACCACTTCACCACTCATCTGGTCAGCTTGGCACCAATGGAGCAATGGAGACACCCTGTGGAGCTGTCCACTTCCCCAAGAGAGGCGGTGGACACAACATTGAAAATGGACAGCTTCGTGGACCCCTACTTTGGTGCTCGAGTTGTCAAGCAAGACATTAGTGGTACCGCAGTTATTGGCCGGGTTCGTGCTGCGGATGGGGCCAGGCCAGACGTGTCGCCAAACATTCCGTTGAGTGGTGATGGTGAATGACATCTGGGCATGAGCCAGTCCCTCGGTAACACATGCGCACACCTTCTTCTGTGCTCCGAAGACAGCTTTGTGGGCATTGGCCGTTGCTCTGTTCTCTTGTTACGCCTTTAGCAAGAGCGGGGGAGATATTTACGCGTTTGTAGAACTTGATGCGTGCCGGAGATGGCAAGGACAGGAAAGGTCAACTGGTTCCCTGGCATTGGGTAATCAAACTAGACGTCGAGGTACTTTGGTGGTTGAAGATTGGGGGATCCACGACCTGACGACTGTTTGGGAATACTTTTGAACTCTGGGTCAGTCTGCAAAAGGGACCGTGCTTTATCCCGGCCACTTTGTATTCTCCATCACTCGCCCTTGGACCGAGATTACGTCGTGACTGG